CGTGTCCCCTGTCCCTGTGTCCCCTGTCCCCAACTCCGTGTCCCCAATCCCGTGTCACCTGTCCCTTCCTGGCCCCCGTCCCTGTGTCCCCAAACCCGTGTCCCCTGTCCCCATGTCACCTGTCCCCGTGTCCCCTGTCCCCCTGTCCTTGTGTCCCCAACCCTGTGTCCCCTGTCATAGAATCATCGAATCATAGAATAGATTGGGTTGGAAAAGACCTCCAAGATCATCCAGTCCAACCCCTGATCCAACTCCAATTACTATATCATGGCACTAAGGGCCACGTCCAATCTCTGCTTAAAAACCTCCAGGGATGGTGAATCCACCACCTCTCTGGGTAGGCTGTTCCAATGCCTGATCACCCTCTCTGTAAAGAATTTCTTCCCAACATCTAACCTAAACCTCCCCTGGCAGAGCTTGAGCCCATGTCCCCTTGTCCTATTGTTGGTGTCCTGGGAGAAGAGCCCAACCCCCACCTGGCTATAACCTCCCTTCAGGTAGTTGAAGAGAGTGATGAGGTCACCTCTGAGCCTTCTCTTCTCCAGACTAAACAACCCCAGCTCCCTCAGCCTCTCCTCATAGCACTTGTGCTCCAGTCCCTTCACCAGCCTCGTTGCTCTTCTCTGGACCCGCTCCAGCCCCTCAATGTCCTTCCTGACCTGAGGGGCCCAGAGCTGAACACAATACTCAAGGTGTGGCCTCACCAGCGCTGATTACAGGGGAAGGATCACTGCCCTGCTCCTGCTGGCCACACTGTTCCTGATCCAGGCCAGGATGCCATTGGCCTTCTTGGCCACCTGGGCACACTGCTGGCTCATGTTCAGCCTCCTGTCGATCAGCACCCCCAGGTCCCTTCCTGCCTGGCTGCTCTCCAGCCACTCTGTGCCCAGCCTGTAGCGCTGCAGGGGGTTGTTGTGGCCAAAGTGCAGGACCCGGCAATTGGCCTTGTTGAACTCCATCCCATTGGAGTCAGCCCATCTCTCCAGTCTATCCAGATCCCTCTGCAGGTCGACACTCCCTCCCAACTTGGTGTCATCTGCAAATTTGCTGATGGTGGACTCAATACCCTCATCTAAATCATCGATAAAGATGTTAAACAGGACTGGGCCCAGCACTGATCCCTGGGGGACACCACTGGTGACTGGATCCCAGCTGGATGCAGCCCCGTTCCCACCCCTCTCTGGGCCCTCCAGCCAGTTCCTGACCCAGCACAGAGTGCCCCTGTCCAAGCCATGGGCTGCAGCTTTTCCAGGAGTATATTATGGGAGACAGTGTCAAAGGTTTTACTGAAATCCAGATAGACCACATCCACAGCCTTTCCCTCATCCACCAGGTGGGTCACCTGATCGTAAAAGGAGATCAGGTTGGTCAAACAGGATCTGCCCTTCCTAAACCCACGTTGGCTGGGTCTGATCCCTTGTCCATCCTGTAGCTGCTGTGTGATTGCACACAGGATGATCTGCTCCATAACTCTGCCAGGCACCGGGGTCAGGCTGACAGGCCTGGAGTTACCAGGGTCAGCCTCGCATCCTTTTTTTATGGATTGGGGTGATATTTGCCAACTTCCAGTCATCTGGGACCTCCCCAGAGAGCCAGGACTGTTGGAAGATGACGTAGAGCGGCTTGGCAAGCTCTTCCACCAGCTCCCTCATCACCCCTAGGACGGATCCCGTCTGGTCCCACAGATTTGCGAGGATCCAGATGATCCAGCCAGTCACCAGCTATTTCCTCCCGTCCCCGCAGCCTCGAGCTCCTTCCTGCTGTACAACGAGCACCGCCAGCAGTGCGTGGAGGCCGTGGGCCGCCTCCTCACGGCCACGCGGTGCCAGCCCGCGGCCCCCACGCAGCGCTTCCAGTGGCTGCCGGGCGGGCGTCTCCGCAGCGCGGCCTCGGGGCTCTGCGTGACGCCCACGGCGCGCCAGAACCTGGCGCTGGTGCGGCTGGCACCGTGCCGGGAGGACTCGCGTGGGGGGCAGCGCTGGGAGTGCCGCCCGGGGGGGCTCCTGGCCCTGCCCGGCCTCGACCTGCACTTCAACTACGGCAACAACGCCCGCAACGAGGTGATGCTCTACACGGGCACCCGCGAGTGGAGCCGCTGGCTCGTCCACGGCACGCGCGACGAGCTCTGCTCGCGCTCGGGTCAGT